CCACCTTTTCAATCCTCTGTCCCCTTGCCCCCACCACTTTAGACCAAAGGGGCCTAGCAGCATATCTCAGAGTTCAAACAGTACTGTCTGTGGGTGAAGGAAATCCCATAGTGGTCCAGCCAGAAACCTAGGGGTTGCTCCCACCCCTAGTTGGGTGAGGGTCACAGCTTGTGACTAGTTGACCTTCAGAAGACCCCACCCCAAGCCAACAAGGAGCCTCAAGAAGGGAGTATCTGGTTCAGTGTCCAAGCATGCACAAAGGTTTGGTCTTTTTTTTTCTTTTTAAAAACAATCTTGTTAGCTAGGATCACAGGTCTAAAGGAAAACAATGATTTATGATAAGTCTTCAACTGACTCCACACCCTCTAGTCACTTAGCTCCAGGAGTTTCCCCTAAAACCATGCTCCCCCTTCCCATACCTCCCCACTTCCTGCTGAAGACTCTCACTCTCTCTAAGGGACTTCTCCTTCCTGCTCCTATTAGACTTTGCCTGTCTTTGTCCCAGAGCCTCCAATTCTCTCCAGAGCTATCAGCCTGCTAAAAGCATCATTAACACACTGTTCCTGCAAGAGTGCAGATCTGGAACTCCTAGCATCTCAACAGGAGTGTAGTAAGTATAGCCCTGGCCCAGGGAGCCAAGCCTCCCCTGAGCTGTGACTTCAGAACTCCTGAAAGAAGGCCAAGGTGGGCATCTGGGGAGTGGCAGAAGGAAAGGGAAAAGAAGGGGAAATCTCTCATATCAGCACTTCCAGAGCAGCTGAGAACCACCCAGGGGACAGGCAAGGTGGTCCTTAGCTCCCTACCCTAGGCCAACAGCCGAGCAGGGTCCCCTCACACACATCAACTCAGAGAGACCACTTGCCCCTCATCTCTCTGAGTTCTGGAGCCTGTGGTTGCTGCAATCCCTCTTCAACAATCTAGAAGAGCACCAGTGTCTTAAACTTGCTCCCATAGGAAAAGTAACACCAATCATGTCACTTTGCTTCCTTAAAATATCTGAAGTTTTTAAGGGAAGGACTAGAAGGAATAGTGCTGAATTTTTTTTAAAAAGTTCTCCAGGAAAGAAAGTTTCACTGTGAAGCTCAGGCATTCTCCCACTGCTACCTTTCTCAGTGGAAGGAATCTGGCTTTATTTCTTCCCTGGGCTTCCTACCTGTTCCTGACACCACAACAGAGCAATGAGACCTTGAGACCCACTGGCTGTTGCCTTGGGTACTATGTATGAGGAGCTGAGAAGGAAAGCCAGGGTATCAATCTCCTAACAGGAGCCTGATTCCTGCTCATTCTGGATTTCCTATAGTTCCCCCCCCCCACACACACACACATACCCTGCCAAAGCATTGTTTCAAAACTGTCTAGAAGGGTACAGGATTCCATCTTCCAGCCTGGATTTGGCAGCCCTATCTCTCTGGCCCACTAGAGCCATAGTATGGGGGTAAAGTGGAAGAAAGGTAAAAATGAGATCATCCCCAAACCCAAAGAATCCTCAGAGTGGACAGAAGATTCCCAAAAGGGGTAACATGCCATCGGGAGTGGAGGTGCCATGTCCACTCTGCCAGGTAGTAGCGACAGCATTGACCAGGGACTCTCTTCCTCACTCCCTAGAGGTTGGCATCCTAGAGCTTGGGGACAGGCCTGTCTCTGGCTGTGCCAAGGTTTTGAGCTAGATGACAACATCTCGATTTAGTGACCTGTACACCAAGTGACAAGTGCCACCACGGAGTAGGAGCCTTCATTATTCCAGGCCATGGCCAGGATTAGCCGTAAGATTACTGTAACCCCTTGAAATGACCTAGCTGGATTAGCCAGAGATCTCTACCTTACATATGTGGGCAATCAGGCTCAGAGTGGCAAAGTCGCTTGTCCAAGGACCATCAGCTAGATAGCAGTGGAACAGTGCTTCAAGCCCCCAGTGACAATGTTCTCCCCTGAGCTGAAATGAACTATGCCGTTGGTGGACATTAGCTCTCTATGCCAAGCTGAGGAGCCTTGGAGTCAGTGTTTGTGGGGAAGGGATATTTCTGCAGTATCTTCATCCCGGAGTCCCTATGGTAAGTCCTCACTCCTACAGTAGCCTGTGCACAATTACAGTCTTCATCACCGACAGAGGCTTGGTCCAGTGGCTCTTGCAATGTAAACACCCTTTGGTCCAAAGGGAGATTCCAAGAAGGCATCTAACTTGTGCCCATTGCACAAAAATGGTGGACACAGAAAACACTGGGAATCCAGTGCTTAACCTTTTCTCTCTCTCTCTTTTTTTTTTTTTTTTTTGCTGGTCTGGGGCTTGAACCCAGGGCCTGGGTGCTGCCCTTGAGCTTCCTTTGCTCAAGGCTAGTGCTCTACCACTTTGAGCCACAGCGCTACTTCCATCTTTTTCTGAGTAGTTTGTTGGAGATGAGAGTCTCATGGCCTTTCCTGCCAGATAAGCTCAGCTCTGCAGTGACTGGCTGTAACACGATGTCTTTTCAGCTGTCTAGGGCTACTGTGGAATAGGCAGGGAGTGTCACTCTCCCATTTTACAGGTGGGCACATTGAAGCTCAGGGACCTTCAGGGACTGGCCCTCAATGGCAGAGGCAAAACTAAACCCCTAGTCTTTTACATGCACCTTCTCATTCCAGCTGCTTCAGAGAGACTCAAAGAAAAGAGATGAGTTTGAAGCTCACCAGCATCTTTGTGTTTTCAGATGCAGGAGGTGACGAATGGAATGCTGAAGTTTTTTCGCCCCCATGCAGCAGGCCAATGGTGCCATTCCACAAGCTGCGTGGTTATCCCCACTTTCTAGATGGAGAAACTGAGGCCTCCAAAGAGGAAGGGGCTGCCTCATTCTGCAGAGATTCATAACACAGAGAGGCCTGGGCCTTCCCAATGGGATTCAAGACACCAATGGGCCCCACTGGTGAGGACAAGTTCAGCTTGGAACACATGGCCACCCTCGGCGTCTGTAGGCACAGTAGAGGTGATTGGATGGAGAACAGGGCCCCTCATTTGCAGTTCTGTGGGGAATGGATTTTCACATAATATAGAAAGAGACTTGTAGCCAGGCTCAAGTGGCTTATACCAATAATCCTAGCTACTCAGGAAACTGAGATCTGAGGAACATGGTTCAAAACCAGCCCAAGCAGGAAAGTCCATGAGACTTATCTCCAATTAACCACCAGAAAATGGGAAGTGACGCTGTGGCCTAAAGTGGCAGGGCATTAAGTTTTGAGGGAAAAAGCTCAGGGGACAGCGCATACGCCCTGAGTTCAAGCCCTAGCGACTCCCCCATCCCCCCCCAAAAAAAGGATACGTCAAGTCACAGAGCCACAATTTTTGGTTTCAGATTGGCTTTGTCAAATGTGAAGCTATTGTAGCATTTAGGAACATTTGAGTGATTAATTTTTTCCTCCTAAAATTAGTTTAAGATAAATCTCTCATAACTAATACTCAGCCTTTGAGGACCCCCTGCTTTGATTCCAAAGGAATCAGGAGAAGAAACGGGAACCCTCTGCTGTAAGGGTGGCCCTCCCCAGCTTTCTCTTGACCTTCAGAATCCAGATGAGCTCAGCAACTGCAGGAGGCAGCAGCTTAGAAGGAAGATGAAAACCCCCTCTGGATCTGGGCCCTTTAAATGAGATCATTATGTATGTCTGCAACTCACTCTGAGGCCACAGGGCCCGCAATGGAGTGACCCCCATTCTCTTGCCACAGGTCACTCTCTGCAAGGGAGTGGAGACCCACACCGCTTGAATCTCCGCCAGACTGCCCTGGATCCACTAGCCAAGAGCAATTAGCTAGGGAAGAAGGCTCCTATGGAGTCCCACAGCAAACAAGGCAGCCAGGCAGCAGTGGCCCAACTAGCCAGACTCTCCAGTCTCCAGGGGCTTCTTCAAGAGCCGAAGGACTAAAAATAAACTGGGCCTTTGTTGCAAGCTGCTGGACCACAGAGGGAAGACCGAGCATGCGCCAGAGTCCTGCTCACCAAGACCTGCCCTTTGGGCAAATGATTTTTCCAGAAATGTGTCAGTTATTGTGCTGTTACTGCAATTCAAAGACAGTCCAATCCACTCCAGCCTGAGGGCTGTCTTCCAACATGCAGAGTTCTTGGAATCTAGGCCTCCCACCTCTTTCTTCTAGAAACATTACTAAAAAAAAAAAAATTCCCACTCATTCAGGGGAACTCTGGAGGGGAGCCCATAAATGGAAGGTTCTGAATCATTGCCACCTGATCACAGATAATCATATCATCCTAACCATCTGTTTAAGTAACCATCAGCTCTCTTCCATCCTAAAATTTCCAGGTAGGTCTGCGTAGACAATGATAAATATACACCACAAGGAAGGAAGACAATTACTTAGGAAAAGGAATTTGTAGTATCATATCAACACTGAGGGCTTCTCATAGCTTCAGTCTCTGGAGCCAACACCTGGATGCTTGATTGGGCAGTGTCCTTCCTGGTGCTCCATCAAACCAGGGAAAGCCCTGGGTGTATAGACACCCAGCTTGGTTGGGTGGCAGGGTCTTGAGCACTTTCTTCTACCCTAAGCTGTGGCCTGTTTCATCTCAAGGACACCTCAGCTTTGAAGGTCAAGGAACTAGCCTGGTCCCTTGCAACATCTCTTCTATTGGGTAACAAATACTGCCTGGTTATGATGAGGCCTTAGCATGACTCCCAATGTTTCCTTCCATCTCTCAGTCCCTCTTGATCTTTCATGAAGAAGCAGCATAGTGGATTGAGATCACCATAGTATAGATGCTCATTGCTGAGTTCTAGAAAGCAACTCTTCCTCTTCACAGAGACCAAGGAACAAGAAAAGGTTCCAACTTCAAGATCCAAGTCTAGAAGTCTCTAATGAGAGTTGTAGTAAACAACTTCTCCATAGTATTTTGTTCTTCTGGTGAGAGTTTAAGACGAAATGCCTAAGCTAGGGGTGGGAGCGGGGGGAGTAAGGAGGCTGTGTGAAGGTTCCTTGGAACACAATACATTTTAAAAAAACACCAACCTACATAGAAGTGATCACAAAAATTCCCTTAAAGTGGGAATCCGTGTGAGGGTCGCAGTGCGAGGGAAAAGGTGAGAGGGGTTTCAGAGGGCCAGGGCTTGGGTTGTTCTTCAAAAGTGCAAGATCTTTCCAGTAGAAACAAGGACGTGCTGGCTGAGGTACCTATGTGGGACAAGAGCTACCTTGCCCACTCGGTTCACCTGTCCATGGCCTTTGTGACCATTCATTTCCTTATAGCTGCTCTGAGCGGATGCGTGGAGAAGGGTTCCATCTGGTTTGAACTGGTCTGTGGTTTAGCATCTCCAGCAGCAAGTCACACTCGGTGACCTGGGATTCTAGGCCTGGCAGCCAAAGGCTGAGGCTTTCTCTTTGAGCAGTTCCCAACATAAGTGGCAGCTCCAGCTTCCTGGAAGAGACAAGATGGTATTAGTGGCTGCCTTGTTCTGAACTCTTAATTCCTAGCTCAAGGGCCCTAACATCTTGTAAACTCTGTGTGTGTGTGTGTGTTTGTGTGTGTGTGTGTGTGTGTGTGTGTGTGTGTGTGTGCGTGCATGCACATGTGCCAGTTCTGGGGTTTGAACTCAGGGCCTGCATGCTGTCCCTGAGCTTTTATTTATTTATTTTTCTTAAGACTGGTGTTCTACCACTTGAGCAACAGCTCCATTTCTGGCTTTTTGATGGTTAATTGTAGATAAGAGTCTCCAGACTTTCCTGCCTGGGCTGGCTTCAAACTACAATCCTCAGATTTCAGTCTCCTGAGTAGTTAGGATGATAGGTGCAAGCCACTAGCCCCTGATAATTCTTTTCTTTTGACTGTCATATTTCAAAGACCAAGTCTCACTCCTGAAGACATGCTAGATACTAAAGCAAAAAGTAAATGCTCAGAGATAATCTATTGAACTGCTTTTTTGTGTGCGTTTGTTTTGTCAGTTGTGGGGCATGAACTCAGGGCTTAGGCACTGTTCCTGAGCTCTTTTGCTCAAGGCTAGTGCTCTACCACTTTGAGCTACAGCTCTAGTACCAATTTTTCAGTGGTTAATTGGAGATAAGGGCCTCACAGGGAATTTTCTACCCAGGCTGGCTTCAAACTGTGATCCTTAGGTCTCAGCCTGAGTAGCTAAGATTACAGGCATGAGCCACTGGCACCCAGCTGAACTCTTTTTTAATGACACTGGCTCCTCCCTTCGTTAACATCAGCTGGCCTGGATTAGCTCCCCAGAGAGCTCACCGCCATCTTAGCCCCATGTCTGGGAAACATCACCCTGTCCCTCACACTGAAATTTCAGCTGGTTGAACTGTGCCTCCATTTCCTCATGTGTAGTACGGTGGTTGGTGTACCTATCTCCTAGGGTTGTGCTGATTAAATGATACAGGACATGAGAAGCCCTTAGCACAAGTCCACACCCCAGTGAGCGGTCAGTAAGAGACAGAAGGAGCAGCTGTTATTGTTGCCCTCATTGCCATTACCTTCTGGGGGCTCAGCCACTGGGGGATTTAGACAGTACATGTGGTAGCCGCGATCACAGTCATCGCAGAAGAGTAGCTGGTCCTGGCAGAATACAGAGCAGGTGCAGATGGGATGAGAGAGATTCCATTATTTGGAGTCAGTATCTGGTCACAGATCATCTCCCCACCCCCAGCATCCCTCTCTAGACCCCATTTGGAGTCTTCACTGTCCCCTATACATGGCTTACGTTTGCCCACATCTGGAATTTCCCCCTTTGCTTCTCAGGCTATACAAATCCTAGCTTCCTCTTAAGGTTCTGCACAACTCGTATCTCTTCCAAGAAACCAACCTTGACAAATGCCTCACATCCCAGCTCATGGGGATTCTTTGCTCTTCTGAGCTCCCCATAGCCAAGAAGGGCTTCCAAAAGGAAGAAAATGAATGTTATATATTTTTCTTCTCCTCCAAGATCACTGCCTGGTATATGCAAAGTATTTTAGATATTAGAACTTTTTAACTGAGTTCCCCTGGAGACTCTTCTTCTGATTTCACCTGCGAAATAGTGATAGTATAGTTGGTGGTAATATCCATGGTACCTGGGAAACTCTTCAGGGTTTTATGATATGAGTCTAGAGAAGAGCAAGCAGGTCTTTATTTGACCTCAAAAACCTCTACTCAAGCTGGGGGCTGGAGCTCAGGGGAGAGCAGGGAAGAGGCTGGTACTAGAAGCTGGGAGACCAATTGGAGGCTGCCAGAGAAACTCAGGTGAGACATGACAGTGGTCTGAAATAAGGTTGTGTCAGTCAGAGATAAACAGGTCTTGTTCGCACTTAAGAGACATTTATTAGATTTTGGATGTGGGAGGGCTTCTGGCTAGTCAGCAAGTCAAATAATACAGCCAGCCACTGCATACGGAGACCGGAACAAGAGAGTACACCCATGACCGGGGATGGCTTTAAACATGTCTCACACATTCACATTGCCTGGTAGGGATGACTTGGAGGTAGTTGGAGAGGAAAAGATGAGGTTTGGGCATAAGATAATTTGGAAGTCATTGGTGATTAGATGGCAAATGAAGAGCCTAAGCGCAAGAAGTCTGGAGAGCATGTGAACAGAGGAAGTATATTCATGAATACATTGGCAACTTCATGTATTTCTCTGAGGAAAAAGCATAGCTTTGATTGAATTCTCTGAAAGCCTAAGGACCCAAAAGAAGTTACTGAAAAGACCAAGAGCTGATACTGTAGAGGAGACAGGCAGAGAAAAATAAAAAGAGAGAGACTAAGATGCCATCATCAGCGAAGTAAGATGAAAATCTAGCACATAGTGCTTTATTACTAACAAGTTGCATCCTTTTATGCTAGAGCAGAAGTAAACTATTTGATTATATGATTTAGAGATTACATCAAGAGAAACAAGTTAAAATGAAAACAAGCAAAGACTTATCAGAAACCACACTAGCAACATCCTAGAGATATTAACAACCTCTGCTGTAGTGCTGGCATGAGACTACAAGGAGGCAGAGCCCTGGGTTGGCATTTTGCAAAGGAAAACCAGGCCTTGGAGGGTTTCGATGTATTTTCTCCATGGGCTGATCATGTTTACTGTTTTACCTTAACTGGTTTCCAGAATACTTGCCTGTTGAAAGCACCAAGAACCCCAGTTCATGCTAACTCCTATGAAAAACACAGTGGAAGGAGCCCTAGCTCCTTTGTAGCCAAGAACCAGGATCCACCAATGGCTACAGATCCAGTAGAATGTGGGTTTTAGTCTGGGCTATGCATGGGAAATTCCTGAGCATGTGTAAGACCTTAATAACCAAGCAACCTTCCAACTCCAGACTCTCCACCACCCAAAGCTATGTCAAGCCAACAACCAAACTTCACTAAGGCTATTTATAAAGCCAAACACCAGACTCAGTTCAAATGTCTGATGATCAAGACTAGTTGAATCATCACAAACCATGGAACTACTGATAAGACTGAAGAACATTTTAAAAGCTGCACATGATGGCTCATGCCTGTAATCCTAGCTACTCAGGAGGCTGAGATCTGAGGATCAAGGTTCAAAGCCAGCCCATGCAGGAAAGGTTGTGAAACTCTTATCTCCAATAAACCACTCAGAAAACTGGACGTGGTGCTGTGGCTCAAGTGGTGGAGTACTCACCTTGAGCTAAAGAGCTGAGGGACAGTGCCCAGGGCCAGAGTTCAAGCCCCACAACTGACAAAAAAAAAAAAAAAAAATGAAGAACATTTTTACCAATTGTTCTGGAATAATCTCTAGGATATTCAGTGGCCAGGGTGGGGGAGGGGTAGGCAGAAAAATAGCAGAGTGGATAAAATGTGCATATTTCTTACCATTTTCATACAGATGCATATGAATAACACAAATGCTCACCTTTGGACAAAGGGAAGCCACACATTTAAGCAAAATGAGGAAATAGTTTGGGATAAATGAGGATAAAAGTTAGATTTCTTCAAAAAATATTCATCTGTGTGTATGTGCAAGACTATAAATACACCCAAACAGATATTTTAGACAGATTTTGATCTAACCCATGCTTTCTTTCTTAATCATTAAACAAAATTATCTATGTTATGTGTGGCAAATACTTCCTCCCAGTTTGTCTTATAACTTCACAATGTCTTTAAATATGCAAATTCATAGAAAGTCAGATTCTTCAACATTTATTACTGTTTCTGCTATTTGAGTCATAGTTAGAAACCCTCTACCTATCTTTAGATGAAAGAGGGTTTTGTCCATATTTTCTTCAGATATGGTTTGACTCATTACATCTAGATCTACAATTGTTCTGATATCTAATGTGACCTATGGGTCTAATTTTGTCTTTTCCTAAATGGCTACCCCATTTTCCCCATGCCATTCATTAAAAACTCTACTTTAGCCATGCTAATTTTAGATGCAACGTCTATTTTATACTATATTTCTATTTGTGGGTTTCTACCCTTTTCCAGCAGGTCTATTTTTCTATTCATGTATCAGTACAATGGTTTTGTTTGTTTGATTATTTTTGTTGAATGTGGGCCTTGAACTCTGGGCCTGAGCGCTGTTCTTGAGCTCTTTTTGCTCAAGGCTAGCACTCTACCACTTTGAGCCACAGTGCCACTTCCGGTTTTTGAATGATTAACTAGAGATAAGAGTCTCATGGGGACTTTTCTGCCCAAGCTGGCTTTGAACTGTGATCCTCAGATCTCAGCCTCCTGAGTAGCTCGTATTATAGGCACAAGCCACAGCACCTGGCAAGTACCATGGTTATAACAGTCAAGGCTTCTTGCTAGCTTTCAATGTCCATCATGCTTATGTCCATCATGATGTGGTTAACAGTGGGGTTGGTGGGGAGAGGACTATTTTTCATGTTTCCTTTCCATCAAAACTGAAAGATCAGCTTGTCTAACTCCATACAAAAGTACGTTGATATTATGGTTAGGCCTGAAATGAATTTGCAAATTAACTTAGGCAGAACTAACATCACCATAATGTTGAGTCATTTGTCCAAGATCATCTTTCCACTTGTGTATGTGTGTATGTATGTGTGTGTGATTTATAACATTATAACACTTTTGAGTGTTATAAGTGGAATTATGTTCTCTAGCTTATTATTCCTTGTATATATGAGGGCTATTCATTATGAATGTTAATTTATATTGCCATCTTTTATAGGTGGGCTAGATTTATCATTGGTCCTCCAATCATTTTCAAATACACTGTATCAGAATAGATTTGGTTAAGCCGGGCGCTGGTGGCTCATGCCTGTAATCCTAGCTACTCAGGAGGCTGAGATCTGAGGATCGCAGTTCAAAGCCAGCCCGGGCAGGAAAGACCGTGAGACTCTTATCTCCAATAAACCACCAGAAAACCGGAAGTGGCGCTGTAGCTCAAGTGGTAGAGCACTTGCCTTGAGGTGAAGAGCTGAGGGACAGCGCCCAGGCCCAGAGTTCAAGCCCCATGACCGACAAAAAAAAAAAAAAAAAAAAAGAATAGATTTGGTTATACTGTATTGTTTGAGTGTCCCTTGTTTGAAATGAAGTGTTAGATTTTAGACTTTTCAGATTCGAGGCTTTTACAGATTTTTTTCATCTATAATGAGATACCTTAGAGATGGGACCCAAGTATGAAGACAAAATCAGTTACATTTCATATGCATCCTATATATATAGCCTGACGATATATGATAATTTTCAACAATTTTATACACAAAACATTTTATGGTATAGAATTTTTCTAACTGGCAAAATGCTGGTGCTTTGATAGTTTCAGCTTTTAGAGCATTTTACACTTTGGATTAGAAATGTTCAACCTATTTTATCTCCTCATGCTTCTAATGGATGGCTTCTGTCTAATGTGTTAGCTAGTATCTTTAGAATAATAATCATAGTAACATAGTATATACCCTGAGTTGGTTTCTACTCATATTTTCCTCACCAAACAAAATGCTGGCTTCTCTTCTAATGCATAAACATTTTCTCAGGTCAAGGAGACACTCCATAATTCCTTATTTTAAAAGTGTTTTTTGTCATGAATAGGTATTTTAGCCACCATGCTATCTTGAAAATGAATGAAGGGGAAAGAAGCAAGCAGTTCTGCTTTTTCTAAATGATCTATACCAAAGTGTCACCAAACACAAGCTTTAGCAAGTTCTACCCTATAGAATTATTCCAGCTAATAAGAAAATAAGCAAATGAGAATGTTACTACTGAACTAATCTAATTTGAAGTTTATTAACAGATGCACTCTCACAAAAAGAAAAAGACCAGGCATTATAGATCTCCTAGTACAAACACACTATCATCTATGCAGTGGTCTTACCAGAAAAGAGAGAGACCGACAGAGAGAGATGGTGAGAGGAATGGGAAACCAAGGGATAATCCAGATCGTGCTTCTGGCTCTAACTGCCAACTTACAAGAAATACAGCAGATGGAGAGATAGCAAAGAACCCCACAAGGTTGCAGTCAGTAAAATAGAGTCCTGGGAACTCTACTGAGCAAATGATATGAGTCTTCTAACAAAAGATTTAAGGGGTCGGGGGGAGAACAAGGTAAAGGGAAAGTCTGTATGCTACTTAAATAAGTATACATTATATATATATATATATATATATATATATATATATATATATATATATGTTCAGTCTCAAGTGGAAATTGTGTAAGTCCTCACCACTGAATATTGAGGAAAGTTTTCAATTAGCAATAACTGAACTCAGTTAAACATCATCAGCTATGATGCTTGCCATTTTCCAAGGCTGAAAGATCATATCAATCTATCTATCTACCTACCTATCTCTATATATCTCTTATATATATGTGTGTGTGTTTGTGTGTATGTGTATATCTATATATTAAAGAAACCTCAAAAACATAATTTCATGTGCCTTATTAGGATTCCAGTGCAAGTAAAAACATGGCATAAGATAATTGGGGGAATAGAAATATTTATTAGACATTCATTTTTTTGTCTTTTCTTTTTTTGGTACTGGGGATCAAATCCAGGATGTTGTACTTTGCTAAGCAAGCACTTTGCCACTGAGCTACATCCCAGCCCTAGACATTAATTATATTAATTTTTTGTTAGATTACTGTGTTGATTGAAGAGTGAGTCCTTGCCCTTTTTGATCTGTATAAAATATGTACAGAGAAAATCATATCATGACCAGGATAAGAGGAAGGTGGCTGCATTTATAAAACAAAATTGGGCATGTATTGACCGCTGTTGAAGCTGGTAATAGAATACCCTGACTTCCTTATTCTCTCTACTTGTATAAATGAGGTCGCCTAGTGTGAATGTGGTGGTCACGGCCATAAAGGTGGTCACCACTGTCAATCACTGAGCCTGGAGGACTATTGGCTAGGTGCTTCCCAGTATCAAGGTGAAAGGGTAAAGGCCATAGAGCAAAGACCACCTCCACTGGGCGTTCTCCATGTCTCTCCTCATAGTACAAACAGCACTCATGGTTCCTGTAGCACATGAGACCCAAGGGTGGTAGAGACCAAGGAAAAGGCTGAGTGACATTTTCCTAGGAACCCAGTACCCAGGGTCCTGCTTTCTTTTCTACCCCGCAAAGGACTCCAGCAACTTGGGTCTCTCCCTCCCACCAGGAAAGCCTCCAAACTCACATCATTCTCTGAGGTCCCACAGAGGATGCAGGATTTGCACTCTATACACTGCCACTTGTAGGTCTTGACCGCCTCCGTCATGTTGAGGGTAAACTGCAGGCAGGTTGGGTGACCTGGGGGAAACCAGAAGCAGCAGGGTGAAGACCAGAGTTACTGACCTGTGGCCTCCTAATACCACTAACCCAAATCCCAGCGATGCCCAGCAGGGAAGGAGGTGGGCAGAGCACGGGCTGGGAAACAACCTGAGGGCCTGGATGGGGCCCTTGCTCTCCTCATCCCCAACCTCCAGTTGGGCCAGATGGAGGCCAGAAGAAAGAAATGAGTGTTAACTCTCTTACTAGGGATAAATACCATCTAACTACCCCTACTCTAAGAACACTGCCTCTCCCATACAGAGAAGCAGACATTACGAGCAGAAAATGGAGAACTGGCAGCACTGTAGGAGATGCCAGCTCTACCTCCCAAGCCCTTCACATGCTCACATGATCACCCTCACACACACTGGGAGCTGGAACTTCCATTTAAATTGCCTTGGAACACAGAGGAAGAGATCAAAAGGATTGTATAAGGTTTCCCAGCACCATGGGGTTAATACATGCCATTGCACTGTTATCTAGAGTGCCCATAAGCCAACCAAAGAGCAAAAGTCTAAGTCCTAAATAGTCACAGGAACATTGAAGGAGATAGCTTGTTGAGGAAAGCTCAGGAATAGAATGTCACAGCAACTAGGCAGGTCTCCTACTGACCTAGCCACTGGTTCTAACTCTTTTCTCCATCCTAAGTATCATGTTAGCCAAACAAAAACCCTACCAGGGGAGGGTCATTACGCTGTGACCTTAAAGTACACAGCCTCAAAGGTATATTCCCAAGGCCTGGCCTGCCAAACTGGACTCTGTTTTCAGCCCTTGCTAACCCTGAAGAGAGATACAAGTAAGCAGACAGTTACAAGCAATGAAAGGTGCAGAAGTTGGCCTTCTACTTGGCAGGAAAGAAAAACTTGGACAATGTCCTTTTGTCTTCCAGTCCTGTGAACTAGACAGGAAATCTACCCAGAGTATCCAAGGTAAAGCCTCTTATTGAATCTGCCACAAAAGAATCCACAACTATGTCAGGGGTTCACCCTTCTTTGGAGCTCTCAACTCTGCCAACCGCACAGTACAATGTATGATGTCGCTACTTTCCATGTTGCGGGAGGAAGGGGGAGCTTCGTGCTTTAAAGGACACTACAGGTGGGACACCAATTAGGGCAAGCTCTGCCTGTCTAGTGCCTTCCACAGACAGGCTGCCACATGGTCCCACATCCCTTGGCAGAACCACATCCCCGCAGGAAGCCCCCATGTTCTCTCTTTCCAATCTGCACAGAGCCAATTACATCATGCCCATTTGGCAAAGCAAGGCAGTATGGGATAACAGTAGCCAAAAGATGAGTATTCAAGTAGAAGGCAGCCAGCTGTGTTACTGCCACGGGTCCTCAAGTTTGTCCTTGCTCCGTAAAGACCCTGAGTGAGGAAGCATTGACAAGGCAGAGTGAAAATCACTCTACTAAAAGCAACAGTATCCAGCAGTGCGGTTGTAAATACTTGAGCGCCATCTCTGTGTTCAGGGTCTCTGGGGCTCGGCTGAGCACTGGATACTTTTTCTGAGATCGCTTTGAATAGGTGAATGGTGAGTGTTGGGTTTCCTATCAGAAGTCTCTGAAAACAAAAAGTCCTTGAGGTTTTTGGGTTGTGCATCTTGAGAAGCTAGCCCATTTTCCAAGACTTTCTTGCCTGGAGGAAGGGAAGTAAACTCAGAGCTCCAGCTTTCTGGTGGTCAGTCTCACCTCTAGCTCAGAACTCAAGACATCAACCCAAGGAGGAGAGGTAGAGAGGGAGACACAGAGGATTGCAACTTCTCAGCCAGGATGGGGAAGATGCAAAAAGTGAAATCACTCAAGTAGCCATCTACAGGAGCAAAAACTATGCCCAGAATTGAATCTTCCTAATATACCAGGTTGGCTAGCTGCTGCTACTCTCCAAAAACCCAGGGGGGCAGGGGGGGGGGGGGAGTAGGGATTGCTTGTCACATAAAACTTCAAGAATAGACTTCTTCTCTACCATGAAGATGACTTAGTAGGGCTAGGATGTAGCTCAGTGGCAAAGCGCTTGCCTAGCAAGTGCTACGTCCTGGGTTCGATCCACAGTACCAAAAAGAAAACACCAAGAAGAGGGAACAAGACAATGGCAACTACATAGTAATGCACAGCGGTAAATCAAAGGAAAAGTTTCTAAGGAAATTGGTAACAGCTCATTTCTAACTTTCCCTGGTGATCACCTTATTTTTGCCTCCAACAAGTTCCTAGAGTCTATGTAAATAATTGAAATAACAGATCCAGTCTTTCTAATATAAGAGTGGAAGAAAAAGAGATACATGGCTGTAAAGTAATTCACATGTTCACTCAGCACTTGAGAGTTCCTATCTTAATCTTTTCCACAAAGATAACCATCATCCTCTAATGTACTTGCTTGGAAATCTATGTTTGTCATATCTCAGTTGTCTTAAAGTAAGAGTTGCCTATATTTAAGTTGTCCATTGTATTGAAAGGTAGAAAATTTATCTCAGGTCCCCTGCCACAGTGACTCAACAGGACATTTATGATTTCAATTACCAAAATGAACTTAGAAAGTGATGCATGATTCATCCCAGCCAAACCATTAAAAATGAAACCTTTCCAGAAAGTTCAAATCTGTTCTACCAGGAGGCTCAGTAAATCTCCTGCCAACTTGTTCAGTTGATGGGGTTGGACACCTCATCCATCCCTAATCCCTTCCAAAACTGGCCTCCATCCTCCATAGAGGCTGGAATGGGAACATTGCCTATGGCCACCATGGGCAGAAGATCTAACTTGGGGACTGGACTTTCAGACAGTAAGGATTCCGCTTCAGGGGGTTATTCTCACCAATAGGAAGAAAAGGGAAACTTCTTCGACAGGGAAAATGGCCAGAGGTTGGGAGTACCTGGTATTTATAAAAGTCCACAGGGCTCAATTAAAAAGAAAAGATGGATTCTAGGAAGCAGTGACTGCTAGCTTGCTACTCAGAGGCTGCATCTCATGTCTTTACAGAACATGTGCTGGAATGAATAGAACATTCAATGTACAGCAAGTGACTTCATATTTGAGTGAGAAATACATACATAAGTATCCAGACAGGACCAGGGCTGGTTTCATATTCACACTTGTCTATATGCTCATACACAGCTGCTGACATACATACTCCTAACCCTTTAGGGAAGAAAAGAGCTACATCTACCTTGTTAGTTAAGCACACTTTAATTATAAAGTGACATGAGGCACTAACCAGTCAATTTCATTTTGTAGGTATTTGGTGCAGTGAAATAAATACAGTTCATTTTCAATAAACCCTGGGCAAAAAAAAATAAAATAAACCAACTGTAGGCTGTTTCTCTTACATTAGGATCCTTATTAAAAGCGGTTTTTATTTCATTATTGCCAATATTTAATTTAGTCTAGGCAAAGTTACATCACTGATTGAATTAGAGGTCTATGGGAAAAAAATATCTTGCTTGGTATGTGCTGAGTACATAAATAAAATAGATACAAACAACTGAAGAACTAGTATGGTCTATTATTTATTCATTGTGAAACTATAAACATCTAATTATATTTTATTACCTTATTTGTCAATGCTTATCTCTTAAAAGCTAATTTCTCAGGAAAGAATATCCTAATATTCTTTCTCAGGCCAGAGAGTATAAATCTCAAATAATGTTCTTTGGTTTGATGCTTGATTTAGATAAATTATATTTTATGGAATCACAACTGGGTGCTGGAGACTCACACCCGTAATCTTAGCTACTTAGGAGGATGAGATCTGAGAATCATGGTTCGAAGACAGTCCAGGCAGGAAAATCCATGAGACTATTATTTGGTGGTTACACCAAAAAAGTGGAAGTGGGGCTGTGACTCAAGTTGTAGAGCACTAGCCTTGAACAAAAAGAGTTCAGGGCTTGTGGCATGCCCAGAGTTCTGCAGAACCAGCACACATACACACACACACACACACACACACACACACACACTACACAGAACCAATTCTCACCTGAAATGACACCAAAAACAAGCCTCCATGTGCATATCCATTAGAAAATAATTTGGCTCAAGTTTCTAACAATTCTCTAGATTCATACAGACATTAAATTTCTCATATCACATACTGTGTATGTATACACACACACCTATCTTTAGCTAAAGAGTTTATGCAAAGTACAGTGAAATCTGAATCATCATGCTAAAGAGTGATTTAAGAGAAAACATTGGGATGACAATTCAATCAGCCTCAGATTCTCTCTTTCTCTCTCTCCCATCCTCCCTCCCTCCCCTCATCTATCCCTTTTCTTCTCCCTCCCTTCTCTCCTTCATTCTCCTGTACATTGGCAGCCAGCTATCAGGTGGAGGGAAGGAGGCTCTGAGTCATTACAATTCATCTGTCAAAGGGTGAACCAATCCTGAGCAATCAGCAATCCAACAACTTCATACATATATTATGACACGTATGCTAACTGACACTGCTTCTTATGTATCATTTCTCAAGCTCTGCCTTGTTAAAAAAAAATTGGGGATGGGGAATGGCCCTGGAATTCAAACTCAGAACCTAGGCGCCGTCCCTGAGCTTTTGTGCTCAAGGCTAGTGCTCTACCACTTGAGCCACAGCTTCACATCTAGTTTTTGGTGGTTAATTGGAGGTGAGTCAGGAACTTTCCTGCCCTGGCTGGCTTCAAACCTTGGACCTCAGATCTCAGTCTCCTGAGTAGCTAGGACTGCAGGAATGAGCCACTAGCACCTGGCTGGATAGACACCTTCTTCATGGTCTGCAGACACAGTCCTGTCTGCCTTAAATGTTACCTCTAACGTTAGGACACTGATGATCACAGTGGCACTCCAGAGACACTTAAATGGCCCCTCTTTTTTCTAAAGCACAGAACAAAACAAAAACAAAAACCCTTTATGTGCTTAAGAAGATGAAGAAGAGAAAGTAAGTAGAAAGGACAAAGACCAAACAAAAACATACCAAAAATAAATGCTGATTGGAGCCACGTGGCATT